GAAAGCAACACCCATGAGGGCCACTTGGGCACCTGGGCCTGGGGCCCCAGCTGTGCCCAGACAGGGCTGCACCCATCTGCCTCCCCTGCCCAGCCTCACATTCTGGCTCGGCCAGCCTCACTCTGCCCCTGGAGGCACATGCTATGTAGACGAGGTGGCATGGCCAAACGGCGTGGCCAGATGGACAGCCTCTGGGTCCGACAGGCTGGATTCAAACACGAGGCCTGCTGTTCATTTACAAGTAGGGGCAGAAGACACAGTTTCTCTGCCTCCGTTTCTCCACCTGTCAAATGGGGTCAAGCCTTCCTAGGAGTTAAGGATAAGGGTTAAGGCTAGCGGGCATGCAAAGCGCCTTAGTACAGGTTCTGCCTGGCACATAAGGGGGATCTGCTTTGTGCAGAATCCATTTTAACTTTACATAAATCTATGAATACATAAATATGGGCCAGCAACACAGCCTAGAGCCAGAGATGGGGGGCACAAGTCTGGCCCCCCAACCTGTATCTCTGCCCTGGGGCTCCGGTAATTCCCTGCATCTTCCCTGTAAAGCTGCCTGACTTGAGCTCACACGAGTAGGGCTCTAGGCCACATGATCAAAACCCTACAGAAAACAGACCTTCTTTTCCCTCTGTCTAGCCCTCCCTTTGTCCAAACAAGTCCTGGCTCTTTCTTGGTCCTGAGTCTTCTTTCATGCTCCTGTCCACATCAGGAATGGCACTGTCACTTTGCTGCTCAGCCTCTCTGAACATCAACTGTCAGGCCCTCACTGCACACACACACCTCTTCACACCCTCCCTAGGCCACTGGCTGGGGAATCTCCATGCTGCTCCCAAGTCCCTTTCCTGCCATAGTGCCTCCCCTAAAGGCCTGCTCCAGGCCCCATCCATGGCTCAGAGGTCCCAGCCACTGTGCAGTGTCCTCATGTCTAGATGGGAGACATCACTGGCCTCTTGAATGGAATCATCATGAAGCATAAACCAGAAAAATGTGTGCAGTGACTCTGAAAACTTTAAAGTGCTTTCCAAACACATAAGCACTTGCCCTAGAAGCTCTAAAGAACAAAGTAATTTGAACATTCTTATGAATGAACAGACTTGTCAGTTTGTCTCAGTTCTTCCATATAATCCTCTGGGAACCTTGAAGAATAGGAAATTCCAGAGGGCGCCCACACACTCAGCCACACAAGTGGCTCCCTTTATACCTTTGGGACAAATGCTGAGCCTCTGTCCCAAAGGAATTTGGGGGACAATGCCATTCTCCCATAGCCTCTCAACTCTGTCCCTTGAGCACTCAGTTCTAAGTCTTAGAAAACACATTCTCTCTAAATCTACCCATAGCTCTCCATTTTAAATGTTTGATGGTCCATAACAAATCATTTACATATAGGCCAGTGGGCTGAAGCACAGCAGGACATGAGGGAAAAAACACAACACAGCAACCTGGATTTAATTGGGCCACCTAAACCATGCGTAAGACCTCATTACAGGGAATAGAGTCATCTTCATACAATTCCTTTCACCCTCCATTGACAACTCCTGATGGGGAGGAGCTACAAATTATGGCCTCTTTGGCTAATTTTACATGACACAGATACAGATGACTTTATTTTTCCTAATTGTTGGAAATAATGAGATCTCCTCTCCTTCTTTCTATTCACATTCTCTAGCCAAAGGTTTTGTTAATTTAAAATATTTGGGGGAAAAATAATACTGGGACATTGTTAAGAAGAAAAAATATCTGATAAGTTTGGGTTTAATTCTAACACGTAGAGCAGAGTATGCACTTATCCTGCATGATGGTACAAAGACAAAATGGGTTAATTACCATCTCACCCTAGGACGGATCTATTTGTCATAGAAGCAGGAGCCATTATTTCACACAGAATCATGACCCAGATAAAAAGGAATGACTGTACCGCAGCAGCCAGTGTCACAGCTTTATCGTGGCCTAACTGAACAGCAATTAACAAGTGTCACCGCTACCTACATACAAACAAGAACTGAGCTACTCATTAAATGAATGAAAAAACACAAACAGCTTTTAGTCTACTTCTTTCTGGGACACAACTGTGGTCTTCTACCTGTGTGATGGCAAAGAAATTTATACATGTATAAAATTCTGCCATCAGGGGAACAGCTTTGGGCCTGGAGAGGGGCATTCAGACCCTATCTGCTCTTCATACACTGGTGGTGCTTTCTCTAGAAATTGTGTCAACAACAGAAAAGAGGAGCACAAGGAAGGAAGCCCAGTCGCATTGTTTCATCTCTCTTTTCAGGGTCATCACAGCCTCGACCTAGAGACTAAAGTCACAGCCAGGACCAACAGCCAGGAATGCCAAAACCTTCTGGGTCCTCATCCCCTGGTGGGCAATGCTCCATGGCAGGAAGGCAGAGGGGCAACCACAACACACCGGGTTCCTGCCAGGCAGCAAGGGTCATAACACCTTCTGTGTTCAGAGGTGAGATACACACCTGGAATACACACCTGGAGACCAACTCCAGGGCAGAAATCTCAGGGCTGCTGTGCAACTTGTCTAGTCTGTTTGGAGGCAATAATTAAAAAACCAAAGGCATGGCAGGAACTGCATGATAAAGGGTATCATTTCCCAATGTTAAAGACAAAATTCTAATACAAATATAGAGTAAGCAGGTGTAAGTCATTTATTTAACAAATTACTGAATGACTCCTCAGATACTAGTACACACGTACACACACACACACACACACATACTGAGCAGAAGAACAGAACACTGGGATAGAAGTTAAAAAAGAACTACCTAATGTCCTGTAGCGTATAAAACCCATAAGTTTCAGGCTATCTTCTGTTGGACAGATGTCCATCTGCACTTCAGTACTACAAAATCACAGGGCAACACAGCCCGCAAATCAGGATGTCGCTTCCTTAACATCTTATACAGGTGTGTTTCAGTGGCAATCATGCTATGACCTGGTTTGGTTAAGACCAAGGTACCACATCCCGTTCTTCAAAGAGCATATCTGACAGAATGGACAGAGCCTCATACCCTCATATAACTTATATAACCCTCACATACTCCAAGCATCTTAATTACAAAACCATTTCTAACATTATTTTTCCCCAATATTCAGTTCTTTAGTTGAATTTTTCCTCTAGGAAGTCTCTACCCAGCCTGATCATAGAGTTTTGCATTTGCAGCAATCTAACAGAGATGGCCCTACTTATACAGAGATCTACATGACTTAAAAAATGCTTGCGTTCTCAGACTTGCATGTGTGTAAATAAAAACCACTTTTTCCCATTTCTTAATCATCTGAATTCTACCAATGTAGAATGAGCCTCCACCATCCTTGTAGAATCATCAGAAATTTTGACCTGAGAGATCATCTGATTCCTGGTCTGCAGGTCCCAGCTCTTTCCGTAGTGGTTCGTCCAGGACCTCCACAGCCTGAATGCTCAATAATGTTGAAGGCAGAGGGCAGGAAGAAAATAAATAAGCTCTAAAGGGATAATCAAGTTATTTTACTTTTCTGCAAAATTGCGCACAATGGCTTCCCATTGCTTTTAGAGCCAAGTCCTGGCTCCCACTCTAGCCTCTTCGCCTGCCCCACCATCTCCCTCTCTTCACAGAGGCGCCTCAGATCTTCTGACTCTGCTTGCTCCTTTCAGCCTCATCTCCATCCTTCCAGGCTCAGCTCAAGGCACCTTCTCCATCCGGACCATGCAGGCAGCAGCGCCCACCTGCTCCTCGGCCCAGCATCTTCCCTCCAGGCAAGGCTCATGGGCAGGGTCCATCTGCCTGCCCATCACAGTAGGAGGGAGGGACCACGGCTAGGCTGTCTCTGCTTCCCAGCACCTAGCATTAATCCTGATCTGGAGCTGACAGCCAACAATGTTTATTAACTCATAAACTGGCTGGCTGGACCTCAGACAAGCCACAGCAACCTATATAGGGTGGGAATTATCGAGTATAGTCATGCTCCACCTAATGACATTTCAGTAAATGACGGTCAGCATATACTACACCATGATCCCAGAAGATGGTAATGGAGCTTAAAGGACTCCTATCCTTAGTGATGTCATAGGCATCTTCATGTTACTCACGTGTCTGTGACAATGCTGGGGTAAATATATCTACTGTGCTGCCAGTCACATAATTATGTACACAATCTTTGATAAGACACCACTGTTACTGATTTATATATTTACCACACTGTATTTTTTAAACCTTTACTTTAGAGTATACCTCATCTACTTAGCCACCTCATACATCTGGTGTTGCATAAAGAGGCCACGTTGTGACTGACTTAGACCATGAAGGTCATGGAAAGTACACGTCAATGTTTGTGCAAGGAAGCAATCGCCTAGTGGCACAGTTCCCAGGATATATCCCCCTCATCATGTGATGCATAGCTGTACTTTGGAAGCCTGGGTAATGGGGACAAGATAAATATGAAGAAATAGCACAGCTCGAGTTTTGGGCAAGGACATTCTTGCTGCACTAAATGTCATATTGAGACTCAAGTGAACCCAGCAATTAGGCACGAAATCTCATGTGCATGAAGAAACACTCAAAACCAGACATGTTTCTGGGCAGATCTGAATTCCCTGCTACAAGGCAATTTCCCTGGTGTATCACAGGCCAGGAACCACAGGACTCTGGCATGCTCCTGCATTACGAAAGGAAAGCAGTTTACGGCAGCAAAGACCCATAGGACTAGAGAGGAATAGGATACGGGGCTCACATGCCCTTGAGGGTATGAGAAGAGTTCCAGCAGTGGGTGTGCAGGCCCAGTGGCTATTACCACCACACAATCCTAAAAAGCAGAATGTGGGGTCCCACCAGCCAGGAGGGAGGAGGAAGCCACCTAGTTCCAGAGCTGAGTCAGCTCTAGGCAGAGTGAGGTGTGATATATAGGAGGGGCTCCCCCAAGGCCTCTGAAGTGCATCTGACCTGCCCAACTAACCCGGCACCCCTTGCAGCCTGTGAACCTGTCTAACGAGTCCCGAGCTCAACACTCACCTTCTTAATGAACTCTGGGATGATTTTTTGGTCTGCCAGTTGTTCTAAGGAAGAGGAACAATCCAATTCCAAGACATAGCCTTCATTGTGAGGATCAGTTTTCTGAGATCTGGAGAGAGAAAAAGACACAAAGATTGAGATTTTACACAATAATCTTAAAAATGTTTTTTACTGAGTGCCAGTGAGACCCCAAATTCTTTCCTGAAGTAGCTGCCAAAAATAGCACTGCTGAAAAATAGCTTATAGTAAACTCAAAGAATATGTATAATTATATGGCATGGAAAGACCTGGAAGACATATGACCAAGTACAACACATTACTGTAGGATGAAGGTTCAGTACAATATGGCTTACATAGTAGAAAATGCACATATAGGTTAGGCACACAGATATCAGAAACATACACACAATATTGCCTTTAGATGCAGGGCATTGGAAAAGACCTAGTAAAACACACCAAGCAACAATAGCAGTGACATTAGCCATAACCTCTACTTTTCCATTTTTAATGAAGAGAATATATTCATATCTCACTCAGAAAATTAAAATCGATCTTTAAAAGACATTAAAAGGGTTCCATCCCTACAGACGGCAATCTGGCAAAATCTATCAAAATTAAAGATGCATCAAAGGAAAACTATCAGGTAACTAAAGTAGAAAGCCTGGGAAAATAGGGTGGATGTAAAGGGCAGTCTGAGGCAAAGGCCTTTATCTTGGGGACCTTGGGGTCGTGTCAAGGCTTGCTGGGGCACCCTGCCATCTCTGCACACAGACAGCGGGGCTGGTTCCCACACTCCTCCTGTCCAGACCTTAAGTGAGACAGCACAGAGGACAAAACCTCCATCAGGAGGGCCAGGAGCCAAGTGGTCACCAGAAGAAACCCCACTCCTTCTGTCAGCCCTTTGTGGGCTTCTGTGCAGCCCTCATATGGGTCTGGGAAACTCCTGGAAGCCACGTGGTTGTTGGAAGTTGAAGGAGAATCTTTGGCCCAGTCAGGACCACAGCAACAAGAAACACAGATAAGGTTCAACAGAATGTGCCCCTCCCCTAGGGTAGGGGAATTGGAAATGTGACCAGGGTTCTGGAGCTTTGCCCAGGGCTCAGACCACATACCAGCTACTCTGCACTGGCTGAGGAGCGAGCAGGGACCTCCTGGCCCACTTATGATGCTGCTTCACCAGAAAGGGCTTGCCTGCCCCTGCAAGATTAAGCTGGCCAGAAAATTCCTAAAGTGGCCACTTCCACACTGTACTCCTGAAACACACACATCTCGCCAGTTTCTGCATGCATATTTGTTACAATATTTTAAAGATGAATTTCCAAGATTCTTGTGTAGCTTTAAAAGCAATTTATCCTACCATTAACCATCTGGGTATGATTTACATGAAATTTAAAAGCGGAAAAAAATGAGGGGGTTTCGTTTTCCCCAGGTGTGCAACTGTGGTTCAGTAAGAGAACTTCAATAGCTTCTTTTTATTTTTGCTTCTAACCTATCCTTTCTGGGGTAGGGTAATGAGGTGCACACATTTCAAATGTAAAAGAAGACACTGATTTCTAATGAGTTGTATTAATCACTTTCCTGTCACTGGGGAAAAAAATACCCAACACCCGCAAGTTGAGGGAGGAGAGGTTTATTTGGCTCACGGTTTCAGAGGATTTATTCCAAGGCAAAAACAGCACAGTAAAAGGGCATGGCAGAGGAAAGCTGTTCAAGCCATGGCAGTCAGGGGCCAGGGATTTAGCTCAGTGGCACCACGCCTTCCTCGAAAGTGTAAGGTCCTGAGTTTGATCCCTGGTACGGCAAAAAAAAAAAAAAGAAAGTCATGGCAGTCAGGAATCAGAGAAGGGAGGAGCCAGGATAAGAATACATCCATCAGGGCCACATGCTCATGACGGGCCTCTTCTGACCAGGCCCTACCTCCTAACAGCATATTCAGTTGGCCTTGAACTCATCAATGAATTAATCCACTGCCCCATGATCCAATCACCTTCCAAAAGCCCCACCTCTGAACACAGGAGACATGAGGAGACATTCTAGATCTACATCTAAACCATAACATGGGTTAGGTCAGAATAATTCTAGCAGAATAAATCAATTCTGAATCCTAGTTTTCTTGCCTTAATGCTTGGTCCAAGATTAGACTTGGGTTCTCATTTCTCTCCCTAAGAAGAGCTAAAACAGAAAGTTTCAGACTTCTGAAAATGAAGATATGGCCAAGACACTCTCTCATGTATTATGTGAGGTCTCAAATGACAAAGAACAGAATTGGGGAGGGGAATTCTAAAATGTAAAATCCCAGTTGCTCTGTCACATGGAGAATAACATCAGACTGTATAAAGTTATTTATAAATATCCACTAAGATTTTAAATAATTAGGTTGAAAAACTGTAATAATTTAAAATAAGTCAATACCATAGAAAACACTCATAAAGTGAATGGAAAGAACATGAGTCTGTGAGCAACCAGAGACCAGATTCGTAAGAATAATCTTTAACTCAGGAGCTAATAACTACCATCTTTGGTTCCGCAACAAGAAAGGCAGCTCTGGTTCACTTCACCAAATAATTAACTCAGTTACATTTGAACCAAATGGAGGACAAAGGATTAACAGAACCCGCGTTATAAATTTTCTAGATGAACTATGAGAAAATTACATCTCAGCCTGTAGTTTCTTGGAAAACCAAATCCAGTGCACACTAGGAGACTATATGAGCAACTAACAAGTCTTCCCCTTCCTTTAGGAATTAGCCCCCACAATCTGACATGAGAGGATTGTGACACTGCGAAGAGTTGAAAAAGAGGAGAGGTGAGGATCCCTAAACTCCCCAAGGATGGATATCAGCTGCTCAAGCCTTTAAGGCAGAATTCTGTGAGGATGCAGCTGTGGCCAGGAAGGGGCAAGATCCGGGCAGAGGACCATAGTCACATAAAAACCTTCTCCATGCCACTGCATTTACATAAGGAGTCACTTAGTGCTTTGAGGGGGGCATGATTGCCATGGTGACCACCATGCCCTGATGTTCACACACTGTGCATTCCCTCTCCTTGAGTGGGGGCAAGTCCCATGGCTTGCTTGTACTCAGTAGACTGTGGCAAAGATGGCGGGATGTCGCTCCCATGGTTGGAGTATGTCCTAAGACTCCATCTTGTAGGCTTGAAGAAGGAAGTTGTCATGTTATGACAGGGCTATAGGACAAGCAACTGTTAGGTAGACCCTGACCAAGAGCTACAACCAAATAAGAATCTCAATCCTTGCAAGGAAATAAATTCGGCCAACAAGCTGAGGGGGCCTAGAAGTGGGTTTTTCCTCAGTTGAGCCTTGATGAGACCACAGGCCCCACTGACACCAACAATGCACCCTGATGAGACCCTAAAGAGAGAAACCACATAAGCTACAGAAACTGAGAGACAATAAATTCATAGGTTCTTTTGAGTCACTAAATTGCTTGTAATTACAGAGCACAAGAAACTACCACAGTTCAGTCAGACACTTGAGAGTAGCCTCTGTCAGATGGCATGGACTTCACCCTGGGACAGAGGCATGGACATCTTGTAGACAGGCTCAGGGGTCAGGGCATGGCCATCTAAGGGCCACAGCACAAGGGAACAGATACTGTGCAGTCAATCGAATTTCTAAGTATTAACCTGCGATTCTTCAGCTGAGGAGACGTGGCCCATCCTCCCGTGGGAGAGGGAAAGGCCAGTCCTGTTTCCCAAAAGGCCATGTCATTGTATCATCCTGGAAAAGTACGTGGGAAACCACCAAACTTCCCCTGGACCGAAGCCCAGATGCTTTCCACTTTTTGAAGGGACAGAGAGGTCTTAGTTTAAATAGTAAGAAAAAGGAGGGATGCGGAGATGGAGGATTAACTTCCAGCCGACCTTGTCTGGAAATGAACACCAAACACTCTCCACTTAAACGAAGGCACTCTGAGAAGAACATATTTAAAGTGAAATATGCTTCCCTGTCATTCTCCATCCCCAACTCAATAAATGCCACTGGATTGCATTAGTTGGCGACTACAGGTTCAGTGCTAACTGGAGATGGGTCCTTTGTGAGCCAAGAGCCTTTGGACAATTTATTGGAAATTTCTGGCCTTCAGTTTCTTCTCTGTCAAGTGGGAATACTGTGAGCAGGTATCTCCTAGGGAGCTCACAAGAAACTAGACCACACAGACCCTAAAGGAGAATAAAGACAGAAGCTTTTACAACAGGGAAAGTCCTTGAAAGGTGCTGAACAGTGAAATGATCAGATTTATTTTTAAGCATGCCCTGGCTGCACGGGGCAGCTAAGGGACTACCTCAGTGTTCAGATGAGAGGTGATGGTGGCTCTAAGTGGAGGGTAGCATTGTTGAGAAGAGATGGATTCTTCACAATTTCCATGTGGACAGGTTGTAGGTGTGAAAGGAAGGAATCCTTCTTTCCCAGCGAACAGATGCGGTCGCCATGATTACGTTGGGGAAGGCGTGGTGGCACAGGCTGGGGGCAGTGTCAGTAACTGGGTTTCAGACACGTTGAATCTGACATATCCAGTAGACATCCAAGTGGAGAGATCTACCAGACAGCTGAAAATATACTCAAGCCTCGAATTCACAAGAGGCAGCTAGATATGTATACTGGGGGGTCATTAGATTCCAGATAGTTTTTAAAGCAAAGACTAGACATAAGCTCTTCATTAGTAAGGAGAAAGAAGAGTCAAGCACTGAGTTCCAAGACCATCTACCATGAAGAGGTCAGGGAAAAAGAGGAGGAAAGAGCAAAGGAGGAGTAATCAGGGAAGGAAGAAGAAAATCGGAAGGATACATTATTCAAGGAAATGCATCACAGAGAAGGGTATGATCTACCCTGTCAATTGCTTCATTTAACAAATTTATAATCTTCTCTCCAACTTATTTATCCTCTTGAAATCCCAAGAGATCCATCCTATAAAAGCAGGTATGAAGAAATCTGTTTACCGTTAATTTTTGGCCATCTTGTTGGCAGATTGCCAAATTAATACCTTTAATATATAGTTATCCTGTCAAATTGGCAAACTGTCAAATTAATACGTCAGTATGGTTCAGAACAGCTTAAGTCTTTGAAAAAAAATTACTGGTGTAATATCAGAT